TCTTTTAATTCCCTTTAATTTAACCATTAGGTCTTTTAGCTTCTATTCCCTCCAATTTTTTTCAAGTTCTGTTTCAACATGAAAGATGAAAATTTTAACAAGTCTGTGTTGGACATATATGGGTGTGTGTTTATTAGAAAAAATTCAGATAAAATGTACACACACGTACGCATACATATACTTCTTATGTGGGAAGGAATTCTTAGACTCACCAAATATTTCTAAATATTTTATTTATTAACAAAATTGACAGAATTAGGTTTATCATCTCATATCACAACAAGAAATAAGGAAACAGGATCAGGGTGATTACATGTACTCTTAATTTCTGTATGGCTCCTTTAATTCAGAAAAGTTGGCATTTTAAATATGTTCATTTTATTTCATTCATTCACTCCAATAAGTTATTTAAAATAAAAACAATATGTTAGAACCAATAAATTAATTCACTAACATTGTGGGATACAAAATTAATTTACAGAAATCTGTGGTGTCTAATAACAAACTGTCAGAGAGAGAAATTAAGAAAATAATCCCACTTACAACTGCAGCAAAAAGGATACAATACTAAAAGTAAACATAACCTAGGAAGTGAAAGACCTGTACACTGAAAACTATAACATATTGCTGAATGTTACTGAAGAAGATGCGAAAATGGAAAGGTATATTGTGGTCACTGATTGGAAGAATTAATATTGGCATCACTCATGCCAAACCCAGATTTAATACTGGACCTAATAGAAGTTTCTACATCTCCCAGAAATACAATTTTAATTTACCAGGTTGGAATCTTTTGGTCAAGCACCAGTAAGGTAATCTGTCACATGGGCCCTCTCCATCCCTGTAGAAAGAGGAAGGAATCTGCATGATAAAAGCCTCTTTTTCTCCTCTCCCAAACAAAAGGTGTCAAGGCCCCATCCCCAAATTTCTTCTTTTCTGTTATTAAGAGCTCCCTTATGCTACTCTTTCTTTTTTCCTGTAAAAACCTACTTTTGTACAACCTTTCAGAAATTTCTCTTGCTTGTTAGGTGGGATGCTGTCTGATTCCTGAATCAGTTATTAAAGCAAATTAGATATTCAAATTTACTAGATTGAATTAAAAAATACTGAAAGCAATCCATAGATTCAATACAATCTCTATCAAAATTCCAATGTAATTTTTCACAGAAATAGAAGAAACAATTCTTAAATTTGTAAGGAACTACAAAAGATCCTGAATAGCCAAAGCAATCTTGAAAAAGCAAAACTAATCTAGAAGCATCATGCTTACAGGTTTCAAACTACATAAAAACCTATAGTAATTAAAGCAGTACAGTACTGGCATTAAAAAAGAAGATGTCCATACTACCCAAAGCAATCTATAGATTCAATGCAATCCCCATTAAATTACCAA